CAGGATCAGAATCACCTAAACAACTTATTTACATCTTTGTTCTTCAGTTTGAACCCAGCATCAATATGACAGCATCTTTTGGCTCATTAAGAAAGTCTTATTCTATGACAAAACCCTAAAAAGTAGCCTCAGTTCTCTGCATTTCTGTGCAGTGATTAACTGATTAACTACCAGGTGCACTATGAGGGAACCTTTATGTTTGGGTTTGTAGACGGGCTTGTCGGTCTGGATGAAGACAGTCGTGCCCTTGCTCTCCACTGTGACGGTGGTGTAGTTGTGGAAGATGTAGCCTCCTTCTGTGAGGTGACGGTTCCCCCACACCTTCAGATGGGCCTGGCCTCTTAGCCCTGTGGGAACCTGGTGGCGCACACACACACACACACACACATAAACATGCACAAAAGCAAACACAAAGAGGATCAGGCCTGGATTTACCAAAAGTAAATTAGGTCAGTGGGGCAAGGATTGAAATGTTTACTGCAGGCTGCTGTACACTATTTGAAATTTATCACCTTGATTCAACATATTTAAATACATTTTCACGGAACAACAGCTACAGCGTAAAAAAGAACTACATTTAAACACCAGAGGAAGATGCCAAGCTATAACACAGCACACTACACATGACTGTATTTCACGAGAATGAGGGTGGAGGTTACAGGGAAGGAGGGAGAGAGAGACAGAGGGGAAGAATCGAGTTGTGTATACTAGATTGATCTATTCCAGCCTTCGGGGCGGCGGACCATACATGCACGTCAACAGCTGTTGCATATTATATTGAGGCTGTTACCTTATTCCCAATGAATGAGCAGAGACAGATGTTGCATTACAAATAATGTTAGTGTTGATTTGCATGTTGCCTGAGGAATGTGCACACAGCAGACAAGGGGCTCTCACTACTGTGCAGCTGTCACCGCTAAACAGCGCTGTGCATTTTAAACATCTCTGGAAAGCAGCATGCACATACTGTAGGACACTGCTGAGAAAACACATGCAAACTAAGTTGTACACACAGTTAAAGACTCACCTTTAGCTTGATGGTGCCTTTGCCTAAAATAGAAACAATGCGATATTTTAATGTGCGGCAGTTTTTAGACAATTTTCATACACTTATCTCAATTCTCTATACTTCTCCCAATTCTCAGAAATCTGTGTGAACATCTGCATAATGCTATTAATATCCAGTGGGTATGAGAGCTACTAGACTGTGGTTGCGTTTGCCTGGAGGTGTTCACCCTGGGTTAGCAGGAGATCCAGCTGCAGCCTGTCTCTATGCCACTCTGAGGTAGAGCAAGCACCATCTATTACTGGTGCTGTCAAACAAATCACACACTGTATACACTAAGTGGCTGGTGGGATGGGCTGAACTGATGCCTCCGATCAAAGACAATGTCTATGAAAAGCATAGATGGTAAGGAGTGCACGGTGAGGTCAGAGGTCAATCAGGCTTACGTTGTGTGTGTTCTTCAACCGACATCTAGGTTTTTGCCAGCCTGTGTGATCTCAAAATCACACAGAAGGTGGTGTCTCATAGCTCAACTTGTTAGTGCAAGTTTTCTCTCCAGAACTAAAGCATTGTGCCAGTGTAACCTTAGCTTCTCACCGAGCACTGAGCCATGGCTGTGGGCGACCGCCTGTCCCTTCACCGACAGCTGCACCTGGACGCGTGTTTCTGCTTTCGCATTAAAGATGGTTACGCTCACTCTCTCCTCCACGCCTGCTCGAAACACAGAGGGTGCAGCGACCAAATAGCCCCTGAGAGAAGAAGAGCAAGGTGGAGAAAGGGGAGATGGGAGAGATAAAGAGGTAGGAAGACGTGGACATAGGAGCACACAGGGGAGAACAAAGAGGACAAAAAGTGTAAGTGGAAAAACAGAGGGAGAATTGGTGGCAGGGGATAAAGTAGAGGTCAAAGAACAAAGAGACACAAGGAGGACAGAGGTAAATTACGCTGCATTTGAAATAATATGAACTGCATCACCGCTCAGCTTTGAGGTGCACTGATACTATTTCCCATTCCTGATTTGAAGTGAATGTAATTATGTTTTTTTTTGTCATACAGGTGAACGTTTCTCGCTTTCTTCCTGAGCCACACGCACATCCACGCACGCATACACAACAAAACATGCATACAAACAGGGACATTCCACATGGATTTGTGCAGCAAGATCAGGTTTAATTGCAATGGTTACCAGGGACACAGTACCTGTTGGCCAATGAGCTTGCTGCTCTAGTGTTCTCTTTGGGTGGTCTGGCACCTCTGACAGAACCTTGGCGTCTGTTTTGAAAAATAACGACTGAGATTCCACACAGTCACTCTGACATTTAATTGAGGGAAGGAGCCTGTCACTGAGGTCACAGAGCAAAGGTCATTCTTTGATGCTTATCAACAGTGTAGGGGGGGTAAGCCCAATTTAAAGTTTTATTTGGATGAAAGAATCTGCCATCTGGCACTGAGAGGCTATATCTCTCAGGTAACAAAGATAGATTAGTAAGCGTTCTTGTTAGCATGGTCCTGTATAACTAAATTGGTATGGGAGTGTGGTCTGTTAGGGGTTATGTTAGGGGTGTGTGGAGCAGTTGATAAAAGCATCCACTCAACATGTGGCAGACTATGTATCTAAAATAATATAAGCCTAAATATCTCGTTTGTTTCAGTCTCGACCCAGTCATTCCAACACTAATCTTTAAGGCAAATATGCCTACTCACCCCCTGGAAACTTAACTGAAGATCACACAAATTAGGAGTGAGCAAAGCCTCAAGCGCAAACCCAATTGCATGCTTGAAAGAAGGATCAGGTGGTTGGCATTACGGCACTACAGCATTACAGCCGGAGGCAACTGCAGTTCCTGAGAGAGAAAGTCATGAGAAAATCCCCTGGAAAATAAGGCTTCGGGAGAAGGAAGATAATACGAGGAAATTGACTCTGTGCGTTTGATCTACACTGAGTTTAACCAGCTCTTGGATGAGCCTGGATCAGGTGGTGGAGACCATGCTTATTTCAGTCACATGGCTTCATGTACTCAAGTTCTCATTGTTTTTGCCCAACTTTTGTCCTCAGTTGAGAGCTGCTCAGTGCCTAAGGATTTGTGTTCTCGTTTGTAGGTGAAATCTTTAACAGTCAGTTCTTTTTAGTTCAGTCACATGGTTTTACGTTCTTAGCCTTTTGCTTTCTGCCCAAATTTCAACCTCAGCTGAGCGGTTTAAGATTTAGTACTAGATTTAAGTTTTTTTTTTGTGAATCAAGCCTGCATTTGTCAGTAATTCAATATTTTCTGTTAATTCACTACATAGAGCTGCACTCCATCCCTCCCATCTGGACAACCTGGAAGAATTGTTTACAACTCTTTACTTACACAACTCTCAAGGTCAGAATTAAAGCTGACAGCAGCCTGACTGATGGCATCAAAGAGCCAAAAGTCAATTTGCCTCTAGAGGTATAAACTGAATAAATAAATAAATAAATAAATAAATAAATTATTTGCCATTAACTGGCATGAGAAAACCTCTCCAAAAGCTGCCTATATTAGAGCAATGACCTATCACAACAAAATCAGCAGTGCAAGCTACCTTTCAATATATCACTGCTACATTAACAAAGCAGTGAATGAAAAACTGGAAGAAAAAAAACATGAATGGCAAGGTGTTGTGATAGTACAAGTCATTATCTGTAATGACATGGCATTCTCACATAATCACAAACAATATGATAGGACAGATTGATTGCGCGGTAAATATATAAAAGTAGTGTAGTAATGTTCAAGATGCTTTGTTGCGCATATTTGAATTAAAATGTTAATGTTGCCATGTCCACAGGTCACATAAATTGAATAATCCCCTTACATTTGATTTCAAACTTTGCGGTTGAATTTAGTGTTTTATATGTTACAGTATCCAAGTGAGAACATCGGAAATATTTAATGTTTAAAGCACTGCACTACACTTTAAACACAACACATGCAAACATCAGGCTACTTACGGTCTTTCTTGTGCACAAGTTCTGCTCACGCTGCAGATGAACAAAGTCCATGAAAGACTCAGAGCTGTCAGAGACAAACGCAACATTTTGGCTTCAGTAACCGAGATAATGCTGGATTATCGGCTCTCCCTTCTGAAGGAGGTTGGATCTTCCAACTCTAATGAAAAGTTAAATGAAACTTTAACAGTGTGCGTCTACAGCCCTCTCAGTCTGTCTATCCATTGAAGTTGGTTTGGCGTGATAGGTGTGCAGAGCTTCGTCCGGAACCAAAGATCAACTTTTTGTAATCATCCCACTTCGCTAAATCCAGTTCCAAGCAAATCGTGTTTTTTTTTCCTCTTTTAGAGCCCAGAGTACACGGACAGTCCTCTTCCATGTGCCTTCACCCGCCCCGGTTCCGTTCTCTCATATTTCAGCATTACAAATTGTGAGCGTCCTCCCACTTCAGCGAGCAGAAATGTCACTGTAAAGAAATGTTTGACATGTAAAAAAAAAAAAAAGAGTCCGTCCGACTTCTTGCTTCCCCCCCACCCCCCACCCCGTTTGTTCCTGGTGATCTCTTTCAAGTCAGGGGATCTTTTTTTTTTTTTTTCGCTCCTCCAGCAGCGAGTCAGGAGGCGATCGGCGTCAGGCTGCGCTTCATTCACTTTAATACCTCCTCTCACTTCTGTGCTGCTACTGCGAGAGCACGACTAACCCCAGACCGCTATAAATTACCTGCACATTTCATATTCTTTTAGTTCAGCTGACATCTAAAAAAAAAAAAAAAAAAAAAAAAAGGGATCTACCGGCTACAACCAGTTCCTTAAGAGTCGGAAAACATCACAAGACTGCCAAGCTGGAAAACGTTTTCAAAATCAACACAAAAGAATCACTTGAAGAAGGATTATCTTACATTTTAGTCGCTTATTTTTGTACTTGCTGGAGAGCGTTACTGTCCTCTGCAGATATTTGCTGCCCTCAAGTGGTAAAAGAGGTTAGATGCAACAAAGTCTCAGTTCAAATAAAAGGACCAAGGCATTCCCTTTTAGGTAGCAAAATTTATTGAAACGGTTTTGAGGTACTGCATTGATAAAAAATAAACACTGTTGCACGGTCGCTTTTCCAGCACATTTCCTGAAATACTACACAAAAACATAATATGGTATTCACATAACATTTAAACAGTATCAATATAACCACAGACAACAATATAAAAGTAATTCACATTTTAAAGTGATTGAGGCACCAAGTGCGAGATGAGGATGAAAGAAGCACTTCCAGACCCAAGAGGAACATTACTCTCAGCAGTTCAGTCTCTCTCAGGTAGAGCGCAGCAGACCCTTGGCTCCACAACAACCCTGACCCTTGTGTTGAACATATATAATCTGAATTGGTAAAACATATGGACATACTGGTTGAGCATCCTAGATGGAAGCCCAAAGGCTCAAATCCAATAACATTATAAAAAAAGAGCAGAAAGATGAACGAAACAGCTTCACTGCTTAGGTGTCCTTAAAAAAGCCTTTAAATGCCTGCCAGTTGCACCGTGGAGTGACAGGAGCTAACAGACATTTTCCCTATGAATGCCTTAAATGTCACATTACGTGTATTACTGATTTACTCCTTTTATTTGTATCAAGCGCAGCCATGGATGATGTTCCCAACAGTGAGGTCTCTCTGTTTTTCAGCCACTATGTTGTGATAAAGTTTGCAGTGCAGTTTCCCTGGCTCAGGCTCAGTGAAAGCAGCCTTGGAGAAAACCACCTGGTTGTCCTGGTTAACCTCCACTCCGTATGCCTGACAGAGTTGGGCTGTGAGTGACACGTCTAAGGACAAGAGCTGAGCCAGTCTGTCAAGAGGAAAGCGACAGTTGCGGCTGCTGTGTCCGTGGCTGTACACTAGCAGCAGATCTCTGCGACATGTCACCAGGTGACGGTGTAGAGCACAGCTCTGCAGGAAGCTCAATCTCTGAGCCAATCGGAGCAAACACACAGGGTTTCGCTCCAGATAAGCTCTGTTGATGGAAAGAGCGAGTGTGATGGCAGGAGAACTGCGGAGCCTCTCAGGGAGCTCCATGATGTGCTGTTTGGCACGGGCAGAACCTGGGGGAGGAGAGGAAAGAAAAAAATAAAAATATATATCCTAACCATGTCCCAAGAACACCTTTCCTATTGCATTTTTCACTGTTTTTATTTTTTTAGGGAATTTTTAAATGTACACTGTACACAATACATGTTACCAACCCAAGTTGTACAGCAGACCAAGAGCCTGGAACTCTTCCTGGTTGGGATGCGGTCCTGTTTCAGTTGCGTAGCAATCCAACAGCCAGCTCAGATTCTCCTGTAGGTGCGTGTCATTGATGCGTGGGTCGTAGAGCCGCAGGGGCTCACCACAAAGCCGATAAGAGGCATAGATGAGGAAACGCACTGCTCTCTCCAAAATGGCCACACAGTTCAACCCAGACACCCTCTGAATGATCATGTCCTGCTTCACACCACGCAGGCGATCGAAGACAAAGCTGTACACCTGGAAGACAAGTTAGATTTTAATAAGAGTTTATGTTGTGAAGACTTCAATATTACAGCTTTCTTACTGGGCTAGTAACAAATTAGCCATGTGAGAATCATTTTTACTAGTCCTCAGCCTAGATCCTTAAATTATGTTTCCCCCTAGTTAGCTTTTCAATAAAAGATATAATTCTATGGTCAGTGAAAGTTTTATCACCATAACACACAGCTTGTGCTATGTAAAAAGAAACAACAATTGCACTCCCTGTTCCGGGACATGTATGCTGTTCTGAGGGGAAGCTTACATGAAGCTGCTCTGGCTAACTTTTTGCATGTTACAGTAAAATAAAACATCATTTAGGGTGTATAAGATAAAGCCAAAGGTTTCCTTGATATAGAAGATGCATTTTTTTATGACCAAACTGTAATAAACAATAGTAAAACTAAGTGGTAAATTATGTGTAAACAGTACTAACCTCAGTCCATGGATGCAGGTGGGGGGAGGCAGCGATGTCATCAATAAGGTAACACACAGTTTTCAGCAGCACAGCGGGTGGACGGAGATCAGTGGGGTTCGTTGAGTCTTTCCCAGCTGCAGGTCTGGAATACTCTTTGACAGCACGCAAGGGGTCTGCCCTGGGCCGTCGACCTCTTTCTGTGCCTGCTAACATTTCAAAACGGTGAAGGCGGTTTTGCGCTTCACGGTTCTGCAACTCACGAGCAGGGCACATGGACTGGCAGGCCCCCCTGGGCACTGTTTCTTTCCCCTGCCGTCTCTCACCCTCCTCCACCTCTCTCACCTGTGCTTTGCCTTGGCCTCGCCATTGCTCTTCATTCCTTGTTCTCCATTCTCCTCCTGCTGGTGCATCCCTCCTCTGAGAGTGAGAGCTGCTTGAGGGAAACAGGTTGGCCATGAGCCATAAATCTATAGTCTGATAATCAGATACAAAAAGCATACACAGGAATTGCTTCTTCTCTTTTGTGGCCTTGATTAACAACCAACCACTGACAACTTTTTTGCTGTAGCTATACTGTAGTAAAACACAAAATTGATTTAAATGTTACCTTGTATTGTAGGTTTTCTTAACCTCTTATTATTTTAGTTTTACACTGACAGAGGTGGAGTAAATACTCAGAACTTATAATACAGTAAAAGTCCTGCATTCAAAACTTTACTCAAGTAAAAGTACAAAAGTTATTCCATGAAAACATACTTAAACACCAAAAGTAAAAGTGCACAACATCCATGGTCCATTTCAGCATAAAATATACATTGTGTTATTGGAATAAAGTTATTGATGCATTACTGTGTTCATCACTTGAAAATTGCAGCTGGTAGAGGCAGGGATCATTTTAATTACTTTATATACTGCTGGGTAGCTTGTGAATTTCCCCTGAGCATCACTTTGGTGTTTTTATCTTTATCTATGATAACACATTATCATTTGTTGCCTATATTCTGTTTTAATAACCTGAAAAGAAACTAAAGTCATTCAAAATAAATGTAGTGGAGTAAAAAGCACAATTAATCCCTCCTAGATTTGGTAGAGTAGAAGTATAAAGTAGCAGAAAATGTTAACAGTAGAAGTAGTTAAAATTGTTCACAAGTACAGTACTTGAGCAAATGTATTTCAATTACTTTCCACCAGAGACTGCATGCAGCTACCACTACCTGTCAATCAAAATTTGGGGTAAAGTTAGTTGCATTTTGTTCCTTCAAACTTAACGTTAAGTTAAAGTTAATGTCTCTGTCCTTCTTTAAACAGAATAGCTAACTGTGACATCTCTGCTCTTTGTTTTGTTTGCTGTATTCGCTTTATAATGCAACAAAGGACACAACAGAAACATTTAATCAGTTGTTAGTGGCTGGTAACCACTATAACACACTAACGTTAGCTACAAGTTCACTCATCTGTGAGTAGCTGCTAGAAGTGGTGACTATACTTTCAGGCTAATGTCAAATCTTCAGCTAGCTACGACACTTAGCTAGCTAGCAACGACATATAACAGCGCGAATGTCGTTTCTACTATCGAACAACACACAAGTTACACGAAACAAGCTGTCGACACACATTAAAACACTTGGCTTTGAATCCCATTTTCTACGAAACACTTTATAAAAGTGAAATAAATGCCGTGTACTCACACGCGACGAGGCGCTCTCCTGCGGTTCATTGGTCGTTTAGAAAAGAACCGGTCGTCACTTTCCAGCGTCAGCCAATAAGAACCGTCACTGTTGTTTGGGTGTAACGTCACATCCGGAATTGGACGCGATAGCCAGTTGATTGCAGGCTTTTTCAATTAAATTAGGTTATGTAACGTTATAGATTGAATTATTTACTGACATGTATAAAACTAACTTGTTATCAAGCGTACGTACATCTAGCATGCATTTCAACTTGTCCTCTAAACCTGCTTACTAAAGTAAGATATATTCAGATATAGATATTTTTTGCTGCTGTATTTAACACAACATAAAACTAGAATATGTTCATTGTTCATGTCTATTTTTAATAGTTTTTTGTTTTATTAACAATGTTACATCTATGAAACAGTATCAGGCATTATTCAACATTTGAGATATGTCATAATAAAGCTGCAAAAAACAAACAAACAAACAATATACATAAAAACAAGACACAAATGGCACAAATATAGGAAGGGGACGAGGGGTATCCAAAGTGCATGTACTGTGTATCCCATGCTGTGTGGTAATCCTTCACTGTTTGGGGCAGTAGAGCTCGTTGGTTCTTGCAGTGCCGAGCTGTTCTTCCTCCGTGGACTGTTGGACATGGATTGTGTGGCGGGAGACCAGTGACGACAGCTCCAGCAGCTCGGAGAACGTACTAGGAAAATTGAAAACACCGTTTATAGCCTCTAAGGAATTCACGCTTAGGTTCAATTCTTAACAAAAAAAGTAATTATCTCGGTTCAGCCATATAAATACAGAATGAATACCTCTTTAGAGAAGACTTCGCAGGAACAAAAGAGGAATAAATCAAACAGGTGACAATATATTTAGAGCATCACCAGATTCCAAAAGACAAGTTCTCCATTTATGTGCCTACCCTGATAGCTGCTGACTGATGCCCTTCGATGTCATTTTTATATCCCTGAGGCACTCTAGAGAGGTGCTGTTGTCCTTATGATCTCCCTCTGTGCACTCCTCCAGCAACTTCTCACTCTCCTTCAGGCAAGCCTCAGCTTTATCTAGAATGGGTAAATACAGGTGGATATGATTATCGTAACATTTGCCATAAATTCCTGCAAAATACATATAACACGTGTCATTTGGGGTTACTTTTAAATATAGTAACCACAACCTAGAAATTCCCCTCTGTCCCCGTCAATGTAGAAATTTTTGACAGGAAGCTCATGTCGGGTGGTGTCAACAGCTGTGGCAAAAGTCTTGTAGTCCTTTGTGAACTGCTTGGCAGCTTCTGCCACAGGAGTCAGTGCAGCAATCTGATAGAAAAATCATAATAATAGTAGGATGACAATCTTGTACTCATACTATCTTACACACAAACGCACAGCACACACACACATATATATATACACACACTACTCACAAAAAGTTAGGGATATTCGGCTTTCGGATGAAATTTCAGAATGTACATAAAATGCGCTATAACCTTTCCAGGTGATCTTAATTTGACCTTCTACTTAAATGCCCTACTTTCATGATATAATATCACTGTAGCATCAACTTTTTACATTTTCCATAAATTTCACCCGAAAGTGGAATATCCCTTACTTTTTGTGAGTAGTGTATTATTTAAAATATTATTCCAAAAAGTGTTCAAACCAGCTTTTTATCAGCTGTTTTGATTGACTGTAAACAAGCCTAAATGGAATATCAATACACAAGAGAAGTAATTGTTTCCAGCAATAAGTGTCTCAGTGTTTGCGTTATTTGCATAGAGATTTACACATTTTAAATATATGTATTATGTAAGAAACATTATGATTTCTAGCTATAAGACACTTCCACACTTAAATATTCAGCTTTGTTTGTTAAGGATGTGGCACTCACATGATGTCTGTCATTACAATTGTGGAGGAAAAAAATTATAAAAAGGAAATTTATGTTCTTCCTTCACTTCAGCATGCAATAGCTACAGGCTACATATTGAAAATGTTCACTACAAAAAGGAGGTGGTTTCCTCACCTGCAAATCCAGCATCTCATTCACTAGTCTTTCCTTCTCCATGAGGAGGTACCTGCGCTTCTTCTCCTGGACCTCATTATGCAGTGCCTCTTCTTCCACCATCTCCTGCAGGATCCTTGCCTCCGCCTCAGCCTTAAGCTTTGCAGTATTGCTCTCCATCTTAAGTAAAATATCAAAGAGTTCATTCACAGCATGGGACAGAACACTACTCTCTACTTACTACTACTACTACTACTTAGATGATAGTGTTTTAAGATAGATGATGTTTTATTTGTCAGGACTGACTCACCTTAGCTGTGAGGTAGGCCAGTAGGAATGTTTGCATCTCAATGAGCCTCTTCTCATTCTCTGGATTTCTTTCGGGTTCAACTGCATTTTCAATCACTGTTTTTTCTTTTAGGGATAGATTTAAATAACTGTTAATGGATATGGTTATCCCATTTCTAAATAACTTCCAGTATTTTAGGAGTTTAAATCTGTTTACCTTTAATGACGGAAATATCAAAATCTGGTCGAAAGCAGTGTCCATCTGAAAAAGTGGACTGCAGAATACTTTTCCCCAGCAGTGATGGTCCAGTTTCACTTGACACCATTGCTGTAAGGAAGATAACATGAACATATATGCAAAAGTTATTCATAGTTCTTATTTATTTAGACAATGTTACAGACTCAGTCAGAAAGAAAATATCTTTACACTGCTAGGTTTCACCACAAGATACCCACAACTGACTCAGCTAGAATCATACAGAACAGAATTATCAACAACATACTGCAGCCTTTACCGTCAGTGCTTTACACCTAAAAATGAAGCCCTTCTTTCAAGCAGCTAAAGTACTTGGAAGTTAACATCGCTGCTGCTAGGGCACACTACAATGACTATACTTATTGGATTTAAATTCTAAAATTCACATGATCAAAAATGAGACAGGTACTCATCTAAACAACTGTGAAGATACACATTCACAATTATCACCATAGGAAGGACTTACATGCTGCTAGAGCCTGCGGGGCCATTGAGCGTCTTGGTGGGGTGCCCACCTTCGGCCTGACACCACTGGGTTTAGGTGAGGAAGGCCTCGGTGGCGCAGCAATAGATTCATTGGTCAGTGAGTTACTCTGTTAACGGTTACAGGGGTGCAATGAGATAGAAATGTGGAACATCAAAAGTGTGACAACAACAGCATACAGACAGAAGAAGACACAAGCGAGGCAGAAGACAAATATTTAACTCATCATTCACAGAACATTGGCAGCTTGGGCTAACAATACTACGAATGAATCTCATACAGTGTTACATGAAAACAGAATTACCTTTGAAAGAGAGGTCTTCTCAGCAGCCTGCATATAGCGAGACTTGACAATTGTCACAGATGCTAAAGATTGATGAAATTATATTAACAAAGCAAGAAGATTGATGAAACTTAGTTAACCAAAATTCAACATATCTGTGCATGTCTCAAATCTGCTTTAAAAAGGGAAATCATTCCAGAAGAAGCAGGTCAAGATGATCTGTCAATTTGTCCTGCAAATGTCATTATGTGTGACATTAAATACTACAAAGCTTTGAGGATAACAGCACAAAAGCGTGTATAAGAGCATATTCAGAACATAAACAGGAATGCACATATAGATATGTATATATAATACAATTTAAGATAATTTACAAGGTAATCATTGTAGAGGACTTTGGAAAGATGGTTTTATGTTATGTCATCATTATGCGAATAGTGTTACTTACGTTTAACACTTTTCTTCCCAGCTCCACTGTTGTTGGCTTTACTAGCATTGTTCACACTTTTCGAGCTGACAACAAACACAGAAGTAACTTTCAAATTCAATAATGCACAAATGTGAGCACAAAATACGACAGAGGAGTAAACCCGAAGCTAAGCTACAATGCTAGCTTAACTTAGCTACCGTGACGTTACTTTTTTTGTCACAATTCAAAAAGCGAAGGTATTTAATGTTACTTGCTTTTATAGCCTACTTATTAGCCATTTTATGTGTGGTCCAGGAGTGTAAAAAGATGAAGTTATTTTTAAATAAAACCGTGTTAACTAAAATCTGGGTTTTCTCCTCGTCAAAAACTCAACTGAGGACAAATCTGTGAAACACACGACACTTTATTAAAAGAAGCAGAAGAAAACCAACCTCAGACTATAACTATACCTTTTAGCCTCGGTGGAAGTACTTTTAAAACTACTCGGCACCGTTGATGTTCTTCTCGACGCCATAATGTTTTGAAGCAAACCGCCTGTGCGCCAGTTTTGCCAACCGACCGAAACAAGAGGCGATATTTTAGTTCCGCTCTTTTTCTTTGTTAATTTGTAGCGGATCTCTATGCAACATTAAAAAGTGTATGCTGAAATTTATTGTAGTGGAGTGTGTACAGTGATAGTCACGGTACTACGTAAATCACCTTAATATTGTTTTTAAAGAAAATTTAAAAATCCTGTCTTTAGAGGATACCACATCCCCATCAAGTTTTCTTTGATTTAACAATCTTTAAAGGTCAATTGCTTTTCCTGTTTTGTAACAGTCCATGGTGGGCCTGGACTATATGCTACAACCTGTATGCTAACAGTAATATTTACATAAACCCCATACTGTATTTGATGACCCAAGTTATCTTCATTATATCTCAAGTTATGGTATGAAAGCGGCCACTCTACAGTCAGTGAATGGGACATGACAGCATCCATGATGATTTGACTCAGATGTAGTTTAATTTTCTGATGCACAGCTGGAATCCCAACATTCAAATTATTTACATTATAATGATGATGACATTATCATGTCTTATATATTCTGATTTATTTTTATTTTAGTTTAGTTTATAATGATTTTTTTTTTAATTAGGAGACAGTCTTTATCCAAAATTATTATATAAGCTACAGTTTGTTCAAGGGGGGGTTTTCCTTTTAACTTTGTGATACTTTCCCATACTTCT